ATCCAATAAACTTACCAATAATAATGGAAAAATAGCAGAGACGAAAAACAAAAAGGGGAGGAAATTGGAAGGGTTCGGAACGGAAAAGCAGCTCAGCTCCAAAGGGCTTTTTTCTGCAACAAATGCAGGAATTCTAAATATTTTGTCATAAATTATTATTATTTTAATTCCGGGGATTTGTTATTATTATTATTATTGTTTTGACAAGAATTCCGTGGATCTGTAAAAGGAAACCTGTGGGTAATTTTGGTATTACAAAAATAAGATGGTAAATTTTTGTCTGATATAAATATCTTTATTTATTTTTTTACTTTTTTTATTAGTATTTGTATTTTGCTCCGACGTCTTCTATAGGCTTCAGCATATCTGCAGTATGCAGTGCAGTAGAAGACGTATGAAATATATCATACTTTTTTTTTCTTGAGAAATTAAGCCACGTGTCCTCCCTTTTTCTGTGTATTTTTTATAAAAAGGAAATTCTGAAATTTACTTCCTTAACGAATTGTAATATAATTTTCCAATTTAGTTTTAGATAGATCTAGTAATAGGTGTGAAAATTGAAATCGATGAATTTAATAAGGAAATTATAATATTTTGTAATAAATTTTAGAGATATTCTTAAGGAATATTTTATACTATCTATATCGGTTGAGAATTTTTTTCTAATAATATTTTTGATTGTATTTAAAAATTGAATTTAATATGAATGTAGCATGTAGCATCGCCTTATTAAAAAAAAAATTGGCTTTAAAAACAAAAGATTCTTTTTACCAATCGTTAGTAAATAGTTTTATATATGAAATACGAGAACCTTTTTTTTAATGCAACAATTTGGGGTGTGTGATGAACATTTAGTTGAATTCAACAAAATTTGAGATTCAAAATATATTGGACTTGTTATTTATTACGAAACTTCCTGGGATGAGAGTGGGGATTCTTCTCATATTTATTTTTTATATTTTTATATTTTTTAACAATATTTATAATTAATTACTTAATTTCCAATAATAAAATTTCATTTACGTTCGTGTATATATTGGATAAGTAAATAAAATAATATTTATATATATTTGAATCAATTAAAAAAATCCTAAAGTCAATCGGTAATGTTGTTCTGATACTCAAGATTAAATGACTATTGCGGTACCAATAAGAAAGATAGTCATAGTTATTGTACCTCCAACGATCTCTATAATTGTATGATATTATCCACTTTAGGCATACATTTCACAGCTTTGTTTGTGATTTCACCCAAAAGATCATATACCAATTGAGATAATTGTCTTTATTACATACCATATTTCTCTAATCAATATGAGACTTTGTTTACATTTCTCTTACAAATCTAAGATAATTTAATCTTGAAAATTATTGACATTTTTTTTAGCGAGGAACAAATTCCCCACTCCCATTTAGGTGATGAGGAAATGTCTCCATCCCCCCTTCATTCAGTACCCATCCCATTGTAAAAATGGTCAATCCTTAGCTAATATATTTTCCTATATCTATTTTATACCTTTTTTTTTATGAGAAATTAAACTTTTACTCCCAAATTTTGGAAGGTTTATCCAATTTACCTAAATTTAATTTCATTACGTTAGGGCCTAAATTTTTAGCAAGTGTTATAGTCTTTTAACTAAGCTTTAATATTGTTACAATTTTGACTTTTTAAATAGACTTTCATTTATAAAATTATTCAAAAAACTATTTTATGTGCATTCAATAAATAAAAAAAATTGATATAAAATTGTGGATTTTAAAGAAAAACACACTGGAGTTGAATTTTTGTTTCTTTTTTGAGACAATGGGGAAAGTTGAATTTTTGTTTGAAATTGGTAAGTTTTGTTAGTTTTGTCAATGATCAATCGGGTGCATTGACCGAGCTTAACACTACGCAATGCTTGATTTTTATTGAAATTGGTAAATTTTATGAGATTTTTACTTAGATTTTTTTTTTTTTTGAATATTAGTGGGTGAATTTAGGACCCGATAAAAATTACAACGCTAGAGTTCATGATAAAATTTGATTTTATGAAATAAAAGATTTATGGTGAAAATTTATAGAGCATCCAAATTAAAAATTGAGTTTTTTTTTTTCCTTTCTTAAAATTGTTTCTTGACAGGTAAGTCTATTTGTGCAATTGTCTTTTTAACATATATAGAGTAGAGTTGTTGTACACATTTTGTTTTTCACAATGGATGATTTTCTTAAAACATAATTTATGTGTCATGATTGAAAAGATATCTCAATTAATTGAGAATTATCTCCTCATATCATTTAATGAGGTCGAAGATGTTGTGACTTTGAAGAATGTGTTTGGTGGGATAAAATGTATTCATATTCCTACTTTTTTTTAACAGACAAACTGTCAATTGGTTAACTATGCTAATTCTAATCGTTTATCTTGTATTTAAAACAAATTGTTTTCTTCTGTAGATTGTGATAATAATATGTGATCACCACTGTTAACTTTGGGTGGTAATGTTTTTTCTAGAGTAGTGTTTCTGTGTTTAAAAAAACATAATTTATGTAGGAAGTCCTTTTTTCCTTGTATGCGGTAGGTTTAGCTTTTAATTTATAACAATAAATTTGTACATGAGCTCAAGTTTTAATATATAAAATTTAACGTGATTTATTGTCAAAACGAGTATAGTTCAGCGGTAATTGACATATACCTTCAATCAAGAGGTTGTGAGTTAAGTTGTTAGTTTATGGTTAAATTTAATGCGTTGGATATGACATGTATTACCTATTAAGTGAAATAACCTACCCATTTCATATGGCTTTAATCTACAATTACTTACGTTGCCCGCAATGAGGGGATGCAATTGAAAACGAACCAAACTAAAATAATAGTGTTATRCTAACAACTAACAACCACCATAGAATATCATCTTTAAAATTTATATTAGTGTTATTTCATTATTGTTATTTTAATGTATAGTGACAATAATGAGTTATTAAAAAAATTACAAAGGATGAAAATTAAAAGTTCAAAAAATTAGTAAAGAAATTAAAGATAAATCACACATTTTAGATTAAATTAGATATTTTGGCCTGAAATATATATTAAATAAATGGTCTGATATCGACTGTTACCAAGAGAGTTTCTGTTTTAATTATAAAATATGTTCAGCATATGACTTAAAAAAAAAAAATTCAGCATATTTAAAAAAATATTGTTTTTGTATTTTTGTTTTTGTAAAGAATAGTTTTACAGGTTTGCGGTAAATGAAAAAAGTAAGACTTCATTTTACAGAAGTCGTCACTATTTCCTAAAAATATAGTTTAATCAGAGTTTTTTATTTTATAAAATCTCTCCCAAAGACTTGGCTTTTTCTAAAGTAGATGACGTGCTTTACCACTGAGTACAACCATATTTCGATTGACACCAATAATTTTACTTAAATATCTTCCGATAAAAATAAAATTCCATAACCACACATTATATTTTTGTATTAGAAAGAAAAAAAACAATGTCAGCCCCACATGCCATAAAAGAAGGGTTTCCCCCTTATTTATCTCAATAAATAAGTTAACTGTTTTTTTTTTTAGAAAAATAAATAACTTGCCTGTTAAAAAAATTCATATTTTAGTATTTATTATTTTGTATCGCTCTAAATTTAACACAAGGTAATCTTGAACTAAAAGAATTAAATGCATATTTTTTATTAGTATAATAAATATAAAGTGTGAGATTTGAAACTCCAATTTTGAGGAGCAGATGTTTTTGTTTTTTATTGGCTTTTTCTTGAAGTGGCAATTAAAAAAATGGTACAATTTACCAACATAAGAAATTGTTAAATCAATCTAAAAAAATGTCATAATGGTAGATTTTTAATAAAGAAAGAAAATTAATTTAATTCCCAAGACGTAAATTGGGCCGGATGGAGAAGACCGATTATTGGGCCAAAAGGCGCGAGGTGAGTGAACTTTAGAAATTTGAATTTCGAAAATAAATTGCCGTTGGGAAGTGACAACGGTCAAAAGTCCCTCCCAACGTTTCATACATATTGGACGCTCCGATCGGACTCTTCTTCATTTTCTGTTTCTGTGGCTAAAGGGAGAGAGCCTTTGTGAGAAATTTCACTTTCAAAGAAACTGAGAGAGAGAGAGAGAGAGAGAGAAATGGAGAAGGGGCCGACCACTGTATCAGCCATGGAGGCGTTCGAGAAGCTGGAGAAGGTCGGAGAAGGGACTTATGGCAAAGTTTACAGGGCAAGGGAGAAGGCCACCGGCAAGATTGTTGCTCTCAAGAAGACGCGCCTCCACGAGGATGAGGAAGGTGTTCCTCCCACCACTCTTAGAGAGGTTTCAATTCTTCGAATGCTTTCTAGGGATCCTCATATTGTTAGGTAATAACCCCTTCCTGTTATTTCTTGATCGATTGTTTTCTCCAGGAAAATGAAATCGCGTTTTTGTGTACTTCCAATTTCTAGATCTTTAATTATGGTTTCTATTTCTTGGATCGTCGATGCCTTTTTTCTTCCCACTACTCCAACTACGATTTCGATTTTGGGTAATTAAACGATGAAATTTTAGGGTTCAGTAATTCTCTTCCGGATTCTGATAATCGCTGCCGTTGTTTAGATTCTCTAGCTCCCGGTCTTCATTTTTTCTTCTCAACGCGATATCAACTGTCACTTCTTTCTGATCCGTACCCTATTCCCTTGTGATTATTGATATAAACGAATTTGTACAGGCTTATGGACGTCAAACAAGGCCAGAACAAGGAAGGGAAAACAGTTCTTTACTTGGTGTTTGAATACATGGATACTGATTTGAAAAAATTCATTAAGAGTTTCCGTGGTACGGGAGAATCCATTCCCGTCAACACTGTCAAGGTACATAGAAATACTCTTTTGGTTTTAATTTCTTTCCAGAAATTACAGGTATGTTGTTTCTCAATCGAGCATAGAGTTTATAATTTTTGTTTTTGTTTGAAGAGTTTGATGTACCAACTCTGCAAGGGCGTTGCTTTCTGCCATGGTCATGGTATCCTGCACAGGTAATTCGTTATTAAACATGGGACTCTCCTCCTTTCTGATTTACCTACATACTAGTAGTGATAGTGGAAAATCAAACACAATCTAATTCTCTGCTTGTTATATTACACCAGGGACCTGAAACCACACAATCTATTGATGGACCGAAAGACCATGATGCTCAAAATTGCAGATCTTGGGCTCGCTCGAGCATTTACTGTGCCAATTAAGAAGTACACTCATGAGGCAAGCCTGATTTTTCTGGGTTTTGTTTTTTCTAGTTATTTTTTCACATGGCATGGTAGAGTTAAAACGATCTTATGTTCTGTGTCCTCCAGATTCTAACCCTCTGGTATAGAGCTCCCGAAGTTCTTTTGGGGACTACTCATTACTCTACAGCAGTAGATATGTGGTCTGTTGGCTGCATATTTGGTATTCTTTCCATCCAAAATCTAGTACTAGCTTCTATACTCTTTTGGTGTTTCTGAATTCCACATAGACGACATTTTAAACTTGTTCCTTTTTGATAACCTCAGCCGAACTTGCCACGAAGCAAGCGCTCTTTCCCGGAGATTCTGAGTTGCAACAGCTCCTTCATATCTTCAGGTGCCATTGAATTGCTTTCATCTTGAGTTTGTTAACACTGACAGGTCTTTTGGTTTTGGGTCCCCTGCCTTTGATATAAAGATGTTGTGGAATTTTGTATGCAGGCTATTAGGAACCCCAAATGAAAAAGTTTGGCCAGGTGTGAGCAAACTAATGAACTGGCATGAGTACCCCCAGTGGAGCCCCCAAAGCCTCTCAACTGCTGTCCCCAACTTGGATGATAAAGGGCTAGATCTGCTTTCAGTAAGTCATCTGCTAGAACATATTCTCCATTGAGCAGACGGAAAATGTTGGTACTGGTTTCTAACTAATAGCGGTTGGTTTTCGCAGAAAATGCTCAAGTATGAACCCTCAATGCGTATTTCAGCAAAGAAAGCAATGGAACATCCTTACTTTGATGATTTGAACAAGGCATATCTCTGATGCTGTGATATGAAGATTTGGGTAACTTTTTCCGGAGAAAAATGGTTGCTTTTCTCAAGCATAACCCTAGAGTATATTTGGGGAATGGATGACTATCTATTTTGTTATAACCAAAATGATGAAACCACGTTAATCAGTATTTTCTGTGAAGAAATGACTAGCTTTCGGAAATTTCATGTGTTGCTATAGAAATTTGGCATATTTGTCTCGCTTCTCATAAAATCCTATAGTTTTTAGTGACAAAATTACTAATCTACCAGGCTTGATTGAATTACTAATCTGTTTGGTGGAGAATATGCTTAAAAAAAAACCTGTGAAGAATGTGGTACTGCGTTTCATTTTTCTATCAGGAAAAGAGGAAAAGCACACCATTTTTCCCTTTTGTCGAAAACTCATACAAACCTAATTTCAAAAATTATGATTTTTTTTCCACAGTCAGCAATGATAATAAATACCATTAAAAATAATTGACTTTTATAACAAAATCAATAATTGCTACAATTCGAAGTACTGCCCTGCACATGCTTCTTCTTTAAGGGGTGGTACTAAAAAGTAAAAAGTAAAAAGTCAAGACTAATGCAGCCTAATCTCTATAATCAAATTCCCACATGTGGTGGATAAACTAATTACACTAGTAAAGCATTTTACCAATTGAATTTCTTCAAGCGACGAGCCACATGAACAAGGTGGACCAAAATGTTAGTGAAACTGAAGCTAGGACGTAAGTCCACAGCATAATGACTGAGCATTCGGTCTCTCCTGCTCCAAACAGTTGAGTGATTGTGCCTGTATTCAATAGCCAGTCACTGGTTTTGTTGAGCAGAAGAAGAAACAGCAGCAGAATTCACATTCAAAATCAAAAAATTAGCCACAAGGCAGATGACTTTTTACCAATGTTCATTGCAGGTGGGACAGCAAATTGAAGCAGAAGAACAAACATATACAAGGGATCAGATTCAACCAAACCAAATTTCACAGCTCCTCTCACGATCAAGATTCCTGTCAAAGGCAGCACAATGTAGCGAGCCAAAACAATACTAATGACGATGGATTTCTTCAACTCCGATCCTCGCAAACCTGGACCGATACAACATATAATTCCCTTTTTCAGTTTCGATGATAAATCTCCATGCATATCATATAGTTTAGTTGATACCTTTCAGAAGGTTCCCGCCTATGATCAGTGTCACAGTTGGAATGGCTCCATTTCTGCAGTAATAAGAAGAGCTTAGAATCCTTGAAAACAAAATGGTGTAGCACAGGAGTTTTGTAAAAAGTAGACTATAACATAGTGTAAAAAGAGTAACTAAAAATGAGACAAATTTTGGTACCCCAACAAGGCAGCGGAGTCATCGATCAAACGCAGCGGAGCATCAGTGCCTATCATCAAGTTTCGAATTTGAGGGATGAGGCCAATCGCAAAACCAGCAATCTGTATGATAAAGAAGAGCATAAGATTGTTGGAGTGCTTAATTTACAATCCATGCCAGCACATGTACTAACATGACCCAATTTTAACTGACATGAAACAAAGTAGAAATAAAAAGGAAATATACCGCTCCAATTGTTGAAGGGGCAAATAATGATTTCAAATTAAGCGACTTAACGAATGCGCCTATTCGGACTGCAGTTGGAACCTGCGTGTTATATTATTTAAAGAGGTTAGCTTACTGAAAGTTCCAAAGCTTCTTTCTAAAACTCTCAATAGAATGGCATGATGAGCAGCCATTTAGGCAGACGTTGTTGAAAAATGTCAAAATGAGAATCAAAACAACGCGAAAGTGAAACTTTCAGAAAAGCACCTTGGGCCTCAGTTGAGTTCTAATGCAAGGCGGGGAGCAGCTATCTGCATCTTCCTCCAAGACCAGTAATTTCTTTGAAGAATCATCAAGTGGTTGATTCTGAATCAATGGTTCCTCTACGGCGGAACCTTCGGAACACCTAGAACTGATGGGCAAGTCAATAAACCTGGGTTCAGTGGTGCTGCTCCTTGAAGATATTCTAACAATATTGTATACATACGACCATAGAAAAATGGCCCCAGTCTGAAATGCATCACAAACAGAGAACATACAGTTAACCAAGAATTACATAAAGAACCCGCCATAGATTGACTTGAAGGGAACACACACCGCCATTGAAAGTGAAGCATAAGCCATTCCATAAGTGGTGCAGTCTTCAGAAGCTTCAAACGGGGTTCCCTTTTCTTTACAGACTGCTGGTATTATAATCAGAAATATGTTCCCCAAATTTCCTGTTCAATCATCAATAAAGCATCAATGATCAACAAACGGTGGCTAAACATCAAACAACCATCCAGTTCCACCAAACCAACAAATTAATTTGGAAAAAGAAGAGAGAATAGGAGGAGATGAATGTAGCAAGGGAAATCAGAGTAGAAGATTTGGTAAAGATGTAACAAGATTATTTTCATAGGTAGGAGATGAAATAAAAAGTAAATTGATAGAGAAGAGGAGGAGTTTTACCAGCAGAGCAGCAACCCAGAATGAGGCCCCGCAGATGAGAAGGAGGGTTGGTCAATTGAATGACAATCCATCCAAGCAGAGATCCGACCACAAATGTTAAGAGGATATTAAGGGGCATAAACCACCTGAGCGAACATAAAAATGGTTAAAGCAATGTAATATTAACGTGAGGCATTTTCACAAACAGAGAGAGGGTGGAAAGTGATACATCTTGACCATGTTGTCGTAAGTGATAGTTTCAGCAAGATTGCTGGACACGAGGGCTGGATTGAATACGTAAAAAACCACCTGTGGACAAAAACAGGGCATCCCCATCCCCATCCCCATCCCGAACAACAACATCATAAATTGATTAATCATAGAGGGTAAAGGAAAAGCAAGTAAATAATACTGACTTCGTTCAAATGCTTTCTGGCATCTTGGCCCAGAATGTGGATGCGGGGGAGGGCGAGATAGGAGCCAAGCGCAGTAATAAGAAGCACTTTGAGAACGGGAATGGAGGCAGCGATGAAGAGGTTCAAAAGCTTCATCATGGTGTTTCTGTGTTTCTGGGTGTGGAGTTAAAATTTAAATCATGAGCGAGGTTGGATTACAATTTTAGAACACAACAAGGCGCGGTGCGAAGCGAACTGCAAAAACCAAATCTGACTCGAACAGAATGAATTCACAATTTCAACAGCCACAGCCACAGCCACAGGGAATTCGAACTTCAACTTCAATTTGGTGTCCACAAATGACGCAATCAAATCATTGCTTTGAATTCCTTTTTTTTTGGCAAAGGGACTTTGAAACTTTTTGCCCATACGCTGAAAACCGTGGACATTGGACATTGGACATTGGACAACCACAACTCCTCTCTCTGACACTTCCACTACGACGTCGTATGCATGCATATAAAATATTATAATAATTACAATAATATAAAGAAGAATGTCAGATTTTTGGAATTCTTAAAATTTTTAAGCATACAATATATTTAACTCAACAGATGTGACGCTGACATGACATTCGGATTTTTTTGTCTTTTTTAAATAAAGCATGATCCTTGTCAGTTGTCATCCATGCATTGCAATTGCATAGCCATCAAACTCGACATATTTTCAAACAAAAATTCAAAGTAAGATTTAAACCTTTTTTTTTTTTTTTTAATCTTTGACCAAAAGTTAATTTTATCTTACTTTTTAATAATGTTGAATTACAAGTTTCAACTCAAACTTTTTCTTTTTGTGTTTAAGAAATCTCTCCCCTTTTAATTGGTGTCTAATATCTTTTGATTTATTCGATATTTTTTCAATTTACAAATTATTTAGATATAAAGTTGAATACAAGATTTCATTAGATATAAAACTGAAGCTTTATGTTTGTTAATTTTAAAAATTTTTATGTTGTAAAGATTTATTAGACACAAAATTAAAAGCTTAAGAATTTATTAGACATTTTTAAAGTTTAAAGATCTATTAGACATGTTATGTGGGTGAAGAAATAGATGGCCACGTGTAGAACATCCAAAAGAGGTACATCAACCTGGTGATGTCATCAAAGCTGCAAGAGACGAGTCAGGTCGACCTCGTCCGATCGTTACTGCTATCAGAGCGCCGGAAAGGGGGACTTATTGAGCATGGTCAACGTCCATCACTAGTCTGGCCACATTCGAGATCCATGGAGAGAATTTCGAGTTTCCTTGCTAACCAATTCAACTTCAATCATCTATAAGAAGATTCGACCCTACATATTTATGATAGTAATAGCTAATAAGTACCTTATTCTCCCACATGTGTCTTCAACGATCAAACTTAAGATGTCAATATTCTTTTGGAGACTCAATCTTCCACCAAATATTGCATCCTTTTACACCTCAAATCAAACTCAATTTGTCTTCCTTTAATACAAACCGTCCAATCTTTTTCTTATTTGAATTTTTTTAGAGACAAACAAACGTCCAAAAGTAGTAAATTCATTGTATTTGATTTTCGAATGAATTATTAAATAAGTTATGTTGTTGGAAAAACTAATTGTTAATAATAATTGATTATTTATTCGTCTAATCCAACTCATATAGAGTCATATAGTTTCACTTTCACGTGAAAAGATCAGTACATGCACGCCGCCTTCAACAAAAAAAACAACGGAAAAGTTTAATTCTTGTCAATTATTGGCGCTATCTAACATGTCGTCAACCATGATCTCCAGAAACAACAGATGTTACACCAATTACCAAGCTCTAAACATTATTTTATTTTTTCAATTCTGATGCTTATTAAAGAAATTTTAAAATATTCTCTCTTAATTTTTCATAAACAATTTATATGATAGAATAAACATCTATATCGACCACATGTAATTTAAATGCCAAATCTTGATATACGTTCAAATTTCTATTAAAATTTATGAATGAAAAGTTGAAAATGATAACTAACTTTTTTCTATACATAAAAAGTCTAGGACAAATTAATAACATTGAAAACTGAAAAGGATGGAGATTAGGAATTAAATGTTACGTCTATAATGAATTATGGCAGAAAAAGAAAACTTGGCTGCTAATGGGCAGCATCTAGCCAAACTTTTTTGACTTTTATACTAATTAAATAACACATATCAAGAAAGTTTTCTTTTAATGATAAAATTTCTAGGTATCTACCAAAAAAAAAAGAACAAGTGAGTATTACTCAACAATAATTCACATATATCTCCAACCAAGAGATTTGAATTCGGTCCCCGATCCCCTCACATGTTGTACTAAAAAAAAATTCTAGATATCCAGCTAAACCTACACTACATACATATATATCCAGTTTTTTTTTTAGAATAATATATATATATTATATATATTTATAAATCCAGTTAAACCTACACTACAATACATATTTTAAAACTCATTACTTATTCATCATTATTTTGTATCCGTTAGGCCGACACGTCGATACCAAGTTAAACACGCCAGTTAATTGACCAGTCGCCACAAAAGGACAAATAGAAAAATGAGATTGAAATAAGAATTAATAAACTTCTTAACGTTCAACTAGCAAAAAAATCAACTAATTTAGATATAAATTTCAAAACTATCTTTTTGGAAAACAACTTTGATGTTAATTATTAATAAAAAAAATTTATATTTTTGGGAACATGAAATTAGCATTTATTTGAAATGAAGAAAGTATAAAAAAAAGGACTTTAAATCGTGTGTTCAAAATGGAAGTCCGAAAGAAAAATATTTGAAATGAATCTAACTAAAATTATTTAATTAGAAGAAGAAAAAGCAGTGGCATTCAATTAAAATCACTCGAAGTTGCAAAGAAAAGGTAGCCACCATGAACAACAAAACCGCGGTTGGAAATGGAATTACAAAAAGATCACACTTTGCAGATCAGATCCTAGCGAAATATAATCGGCAATTAAAATACTGAAAAATGAAAAAAAAATAAAAATCATTTTTAGAGTTTGATGAAACTTTAAAAAGAATCACTGGCGTTCTTAGTTGATGAGTTATATATTTTTAGAGTCTAATATATAAATGAATTAATCATTCATGTTATCCACACCATGGCAGGCAGTAACGTCATCAATGACTTAAAACTATCAGCTTCATTAATAAATAAAAAAATAAATAAAACGATGTCTCACTTGGAATTTGGACCACCTGCGACCAACATCTTCACAACATTCCCGATCTCCAAATGTCTCTGTCCAAACCAAAGGCTCAGCAAATCCACGGTCGCCGTCCTTCAATTTGTAGTTAGACAACTTTGAGTTTTGAATATATGTTTTGTAGGGCTCTCCCAACTTTGAACACAAAACAACAAACAATCATAATGACAATGATGGGGACAACGGATCCATCCCAATCGGCCTTACCCACTTGAAGAACAGCATGGTCCAAAACTGGCTAGCTTTCTCCAAAGTAGTTTCGACACTGCATAGGGAAGAAAGGCCTACAAGCAAACCATAATCTCATAATGAAAAAAGTAGCACATTCTAATTTCTACGTAATCCAATGGGACTCCAACTTCCAGTCCTCTAGGCAAGGAGGCGATGGAAGCAGGAGTTATAAACCCCACTCACTACCCTGCTATTTTCTTCACTCCGAGCTCTCCGGTATGGCAACAGACTTCCCCCAGGTTTCACAACCCTGCAATTGCGGATGCCTGTGGTTCACAAAATTTGCGCTCAATCATTTCTAATCAAAATCAATCTTAGCTATTCTTTACATGACTCAGCATAAAATAGAGGAACATACACCGCTACTTCTTCCTCATCATTTCTTCCAAAATAATGAATTAGCAAAACAATAATCCTGTAATCAATCACAATATAGTTCCTAACACTGAAAATGGAAACAAAGACAACAAATAGGACCGAACAATTTCAACAGATGATAGGATCCGGTAACATACGCAAGTTCATCTATAAGGTTAGTGATTCCTCGAAAAGCAAATAAATTAACAAAAATCATCTAAGAAAGAGAAATTCTGAATATTTGAAATATTTCATGTATGAAATACAATATTTGTATTGGCGATCAATACAGTAATACGAAATATTTCATAAACCAGATATGACAAACCGTGACCTTCTAACTTGAGGGCATTAACTGAGAACTTTCAGCACTCCAGCTTATCATCCATCACGAGGATCACAGAAGAAAAACAATTGGCCGCAGTATTCTGAATTATACCTGGAAAAAGAAAAATGTAAATCCAAATAAGCCCAATAAAAGAGCAACAGACTCTAAATGAACAAAATATGGTAACAATAACAAGCGTAGAGTCGAAGCTGAAGCATTAATCAAGTGGAGCAAGGATGTCTGGAACACTAACGCAAAGGGTGGCGCACCATAATTGCCATCTGATAGCCACTATTGCAAGGTAATAGCGGAGAGACAATATTGAACATGCGATCTAGGTATAAAACATCCCTCGCACCATAGGAAAAGAAAAACAGAACAAAAATCAAAAGAGGAAGGAAGACATTGAAATCAAAAAAATATATTCATCATATTTTACTTCTAGGCGAAGAAGGTGCAAGAAAATAGAAGCACTAGAACAATGAGAAATCAAGAGAATAACTATGCTCCTTGTTCAACTCATAGACTTTTTGTTTCTTTATCTGAAAATAGAAACAAAAAAATAGGAAAAGCACATAAAATGTGCATATTTCCAGCAGGCCGCAGAAAAATTCAAGTCTTAGCACAAAAAAGCAATGGCTTCAAAGTAAAGATCAAGTTCTCACACTTAAACGACTGAGTATCTGCCTGGTTGTGATCCACCGGGAAGTGACAATGTTTGGTTTGTAATATCCTCAAGGACACGTTTCAATTCAGCTTTAGCTCTCTTAACAGATTGTTCAGTAGGACCTTCAATGAACAAGTAAAGCTTGCGCTCTCCAGGTCCAGCAATCTTGCCAGGTGGGAAGAACTGCCCCCTAGTAGTAATAGCAGCTCCAGTCCACTCTGAAATTGGGCCTAAGGTCTCCTTATGGGTGACCTTCCATCGAGCATTCTGTGGAAAATCATTAATTTCCAATTCCGCTTCATAGTGTTCAGGAATGGCACTAGCTTGAATCTTGGCCAGGTTGTGTTGCAAGTTCATAGCAGCTGCTAATGCTGCCCTTGCAGCTGCTCCATCATTAGCAACCACAGGCAATGTAGCACCAGGAATAACTGCCACTGTTCCCGGAATTGTCAGTCCCAGAACACCAGGCACAGAAACGGGTAATCCGCCATTTGGAAGCAGTTGAGCAGCAGAGATGGGAGTTGTGATTGAGGCTGCACTAACTTTAGTGGCAGCTGCTATGGCAGCTATCTGGGCTAAAGCTGCCTGCTGTGAGATATCACCACCTGCCTTCCGGACACCATCATCTTCATCTTCTGAATCTGATTTGTCTTCCTCGAAACCATATTCCTTCGCTTGCGCTTTCTTTGCTGCCCTCCTCACTTCATCTTCTTCCTCATTAAACTTGAAACCACTACCACCATACCCAGTTCCATGAGCCTGCTCCAATCCCTGATTCACCTTTGCCATGAAACTATCAGCAAGAGCTCTCAGGTCATCAGGAACAACCTGCTCAGAGAGTTCCAATGCTTTCACAAGATCTGGTGCATATCTTGAATCTTCCTCAGCAATAAATGTGATAGCACACCCCTTTCGGCCAGCTCGGCCTGTGCGACCCACACGATGCACATAATCTTCATAGTGGTTTGGGACATCAAAATTGATCACTAGCTCCAGCTCCTTGACATCTAAACCCCTGGCAGCAATGCTAGTTGCAATTAACAAGTTGCATACATTGCTTTTAAAGTCTGATATGGTAGATTCACGATCTGTCTGATCCTTGGCCCCATGGAGTGAGAGGCATGGATAACCATGCTTAAGGAGATCCCTAAAGAGTGCATCGCATTTCTCCTGTGAGTGGACAAAAATTAGAATCTTGCCTTTCTCATACCACTCTCCTAATAGCTCTAACAGTCTCAAGAACCTTTCATTTTCTGGCCTCACTTCAACCAACTGTGTTATGTCCTTATTCACAACACTCCTCCCACCAACCTGTATTTCCACAGGTTTGTTCAACACCTTGCGAGCCAAAATTTCAACCTGACGAGGAAAAGTAGCAGAAAATAGTACGGTTTGACGGTCTGGCCGAATATTCTGAACAATGCGAGTAATCTGAGGTTCAAAACCCATGTCAAACATTCTATCAGCTTCATCCATGACCAAAAATGTAACTCTACGCAGATTTGTTATTTTTCCTGCACTAGTGCAGAGTATATCAATCATCCTTCCTGGGGTACAAACTACTATTTCAGCGCCACGCTTGAGTTCACTAATTTGTTGGGCAACACCAGAACCTCCATATACAGGCACACACCTTAGACCCAAAACCTTGGAGAACTTCTTTATATCACTGTGGATCTGCTGGACCAACTCTCTGGTAGGAGCCATTATAAGCCCAATAGGACCATCACCAGGTACAACAGGGGGTTGATCCTTGATATGTCTCAGCATTGGAAGCACAAATGCAAGTGTTTTTCCAGATCCAGTTTTGGCAATACCTATGCAATCTCGACCACTCATGACAATTGGCAATGCCTGAGCTTGTATTGGCATTGGCTTCTCATAGTTGAGTTTTTTAATTGTTTCTAAAATTTTACTAGTAAGTCCAGTTTGATGCCAGGTTTTGACAGGCTTTGGAACATCTTTTCCATGTATCTTTAGTTCCAATTGCTTACGGTAAGCAGCAACTTCTTCGGTTGTCATCCTAGATATCTCCTTCACTTCAATATAGAAGTTTTTCCGGAAAGGTTTATAATCCATCTTTGTATGGTCAACAATAGAAAGCTTCTCAGCCTTTGTCTTCTTCACCCTTTTCATGAACTCGTCATCATCTTCATCTTCTAAATTGTCTTCATCATTCTCAAGATCTCCATAGTCTGTGTCAGAATCTTCACCAGGAATTATTCTACCCATTGATTTCTTTGAAATTCTTCTTTGGTGTTTACTGCCACTTTGATCACTCGGTTTATCTCTGCTCTTCAACTCTGAAATTTTATCATCACTAACTGCAGGGGTCTCAACTTTATTTAGCTTCTCCACTTCAGGTAACACCATGGAATTCATGAAAGCATCCAGAGGATCAATTTCCTCATCACCATTAATGCCATCTTGCAGTGGAGGTGCAGCTGCTTCATTGCTATTGTCGGAGTCAACTGCAACTTGTCCACCTTCTTCAGGCGGCTTAGAACTTTCATCAACATCCATATCAGTCTCAGTAGGTTTGGCATTTTCATACTCATCATCAGATTCACCTTCAAGGGTCCATGTCTTGCCTGATTTTGGTTCATCAGCATTTGGCTCACCCTGCTTATCGCTTTCAGCCTCTTCCTTCAATCTCCGTGACTTCTGCCACTCTTGAACTCTTCGCCTACGTTTTTCCATTTCTTCATCCAACTTCCTTTGTTCATTTTCCAGCTCCTCTTCACGAGTTGGCTTTGTTTCATTCTTATCAGATGCACCTTCTTCACTCTTTTCTCGTGGACTCTCTTCACCATGATCTCTCTGCTTATTTGTCCTGATATTGCTTTCATGAGCTCTAGAGTCGTCATCTTCTCTCCTGCGCCGTTTCCTAGTGTGATCAGTAGAGTCTTCATCACTATAGTCACTAACAACATCCCGTCGCTTCCTTCTGTCTTTCTCTCTTTCCTTTTCCCTATCTCTCTCACGTTCTCTCCTCTCTCTATCCCTGTCTCTCTCCCTCTCACGATCTTCTTTGATGCGTTCTCTCTTCTCTCTTTCTTTCTCTCTTGCCCTCTCCCTCTTCTCCTCTCTCTCTTTCTCCTTATCCCTCGTTCTCTCCCTTGCCCTATCTTCTCTGTCCCTGTTCCTTTCCTTCTCCCTATCCTTCCTCCTATCCTTTGCCTTTTCTTTTTCATCATCCCGACTCCGAGTTTTATCCTTGCCTCTTCTAAGTTTTTCCCTCTCCCTCTCGTACTGCTGCTCATCAGAATCGGCACTCTTTTCCCTCTCAGAACGTCGCTCCCGGTCCCTCTTCTCCTTGTCTCTGCTTCTATCGCCGTTTCTCTCCTTGTCCCTTTCCCTATCGCGGTCCCGGTGACTCTTCTTCGGGTCATCCAAATCTTCTCTTCTGGATTTGGTTTTGCCCTCCTCCATTGCTTACTTATACGAAGCTTATAAATCAGAGAAAAATAAAATAATTGAAAACTGAAAGGTAAGTGCTGAATAGCCCCAATTAGCGATTAACCAGGGCGCTTTAGCTATGAAACTCCCTCCACTATTCTAAGATGTCTACTGCGACGCTATGATTGGTGATTGAATCTACGACGAACCTGATTCAAATCCAACAGATAATTTAAGGAGGGGAAAAAAGACGAACGACAAGAAACCGGAATATGACAAATCTGAGACATGAAATTAGAAAAAGCTAACCAGCGTATGGAAAGGGCAGAGGAAAACCCTAATTCCTTCTCTGGGAATTTGGAAGTCCTGCGCAGTCCGATAGAAGTTGTAATTTTCCCTTCCGGTATTTGAAATGAAACGCTGCGTTGGTAGGGAAGAAGAGAAGCTGTGGTTCGAACTTCGAACTCCGCCGTTCCGTCCAACCCCCGAATGCGGTTCGCTTCGCCCCTCCCCTGCTCAACTCAAAAATCCACTCACTCCTGGGATGGGCTTTTTAAGTGTTCTTTAACTCTAGCCCAACCCCAAATCTTGGGCCTCAGGCCTCAGCACATAAATTTGTTTAAATTTTAAATTTTATTTTTATAACTTTTAAGCCTATGAGGAAGACAGTTCAAAAAAAAAAAAGAAAAAATTGACGAATGTTTTACTCGATTGTAAAGTTTTGTTTAACGACACATTATTATTTTTTAAAGTAAAATTAACACGACTAAAAAGTTAAAAACGTGGGGAAGAGGAGGAGAATAAGGATTTGAGGTGAAATTTGTATCTATAATTTAGGATTCGAGTGTCAATTTGAACCTAATCCGACTTTTCTAGATACTTATCAGACCAAAAAATCACCGACTTTCAAATATTCACTCTACAGGTTTATACTAAAAAAATTAGGTTAGTTTTATTATTATTATTATTATTATTATTATTATTTTAGAGCAAATGAGTTAAAGAGATTCGACCTCACCCCTGGTCGGATATATAGAAATTAAGGTTAAGGTAGAGATATTTTCGAAATTTAATTTTACAATTTAGGCACAAGTGTAATTCCCCGACGAGTTACGGGTGACGGCGAAGTAAACACTCGTAGGCCGCAGAGCGGAATTATATAAATATCGACTGGCGATGTGCTGCAGCTGAGTCAAACCCGTATTTTAACTCGTAAGGCAACCACTCATTTCCCTCCATCCCCAGCACCAATGCCCTTTCTTCTTCTTCTTCTTCTTCAACTCCGACCCACGCCCATTGCCCCTTTCTCCGTCTGTTTCTCGTTTTTTCGATGTATTACGCTCAGGAATTTGACGCCCTACTCCACTTTCTCCACTCAATATCCCACATTATTTCTCTCTCTCTCTCTCTGCATCCGTCTCAAACCACTTGCTACTTCGTAATCCATATTTGACAGGTAAGCTCCTACGCTATTATGCCCATATTTTGCTTTCCGGTATGCCTTTTATGGACTTCTATAAATATCTGCTTTCGCATGGGGAGAAGGAAGGAGAAGGAGAATGAACCCATATTTTTTATGCCCTTCCTTTCCGGGAGACACAAACGGACTATCACAATGGCAAATGGGAAACATATATTTTTGAGAATGATTATTACTTCATTACCATCCCTATAGAACTTTTAATAATCGGCTTCCTTCTTTTATGCCATTTATTTTTCTTGCTTACGGAGCACCACACAATTTCATTGATGTCACCGTCGATGGAATGAGTTATGTTTTTATTTGCATTTTGACAGTGTTATAAGCAAAATGAATGATAGCGCGATAACGCGGGGCAAGATTTGCCCCACGGCCTGCCCTGAGTTTGACGATGTCAAAATTCATGATCATCCATGTCTTCTAAAACCGATCGACGATGATCACGATATGCTTGATCACCCTGATGTCAACACTGCTGCTGATGCACGAGTTATCGAGGTTGCTCGATGAACCAGGGCTAAAAGTAATGAACATGCCATGGAGACTGATCCCCAAATCGGGAACCAGGATAATCCTTCTGCACCACCCGTTTCATTTGAGATCTCTCTGCCTCCAAATGCTGAAAATAAGAGTGCGACAACCATGAAGAATGTGCGGACTGATATCGAAGTATGTCTTCTGAAAACTCTTCATTGTATCATATTCGGTTTTCTAATGATCAATGAATAAGGGAAACGACAATCTGGCTTCCACCAGTCAATTGGATCTTTTGTGTGAGTGGAGTTTAATAAAGTAAATCCCTCTTTCTTGTTGTGTCAAAATGCAGATGGCCGAAGCTGATGAATCAGGGACACCGGAGGATAGGGTGGCATTTATGAAGGAGATTGAGAATTTCCATAGGGAGAGGGCTCCTAAGTTCTATGGGGAGCCACTAAATTGTTTGAAGTAAGTCTCTTGGTAATATGCATGTAACTGACTCTCTAAACATCAGAATGATTTGATGTTTTGGTTTGTATACTTAATTGTGTATTCTTTTCTCTGGAATGTAGGTTATGGAGAGCTGTCATTAGATTGGGCGGCTATGATGTGGTAGATATGAACTGCTACATAATGAGTTTTTTTTTTTTTTTTTATATATTGTAAGTCTGGACATGAGTAAATAAAGCCTCATGTGTATTGTTTGATGCTTAATGTGATCTTCCATTATTTGATATTGATATAAATATTGCAGATGAAGTACTCTTAATAAAGCAACAATTCGGATGCTACTCCTTTTAAAGACTTATTGTGATGCCTGATCCCACTACCGAGGTCTATTTGCTCTATTAATGAATTTTTAATATTTATTTACACTTTGGGTAGGTGACTGCATCTAAGCGTCTTTGAGCATAAAGTGTCAACTATTTTCGGGTCTTCAAGCTGCATCCCAATGATCCTCTTCAAACATCTACCGTGGTGAGCCACCTCCGGTCGTAATATTTGTATTTGTAGTAATGTAGGGGATGAAGGCATGAAGCTGGCCTACTCTTTTTGAGAACGTAACCTCCAAAGTTGATTAATAGATGCTAGTTTCGGACATTTTGTTGGGGGCTCTCTTGTTGGAACTGTTTACAACTGTTATTGTTTCCCCTGTAAATGCAATGAAATTGAATCAAAGTGGACTCCACCAATTTGCTCTTCCCATCTGTCAACCTTTTTATTTCCACTCATTGGTTCTCACTTTATTTAGTATACCCCGAAATTGAATCTGCCTTCTCTCCAAGTTTTGGCTGTTTTTTCTCTTTCAATAAATTTTAAATATAACAAATGATTAATACTTCTATACGAACAATTTTTTTTTTTTTTAACAAAATATGAAAAGAAGATATATGGAAGTAGTAAAGAACTGTTCTTATTTATGTTGCTTCTTTGTTCTGAATATTTTACTAATCAAATAAAAGGAAAATTGTTTTGAAATATTATATCAAAGTTGGAGACTTACATTTGGCATAAGCGCGCGTATAAGGTCACATGAATTACGCATATTGCATGTACAAACCAGTCAGTCTCGGTCAAGTTGAAGTCAACGGCCTTCAGTAACCGCTGTCAACAGAAAAAAGCAAACAAAAATTCGTATATTTAAAATAAAACATTTTTTGAGGTATAAAATTTGTTTGGAAGGATGACTACACTCTTCTTTTTTTGCAATTTTCATAATTTTTTTTTAAATAATTTGAAAACGAACTGTTCATATGAAGTAATTAGTTTATATTTAAAAATAAATAAAAATACACAAATAGAATATAATTTTCAAACCATTTAAAAAATAAAAATGGAGTGCAAAATGTAAATTGGACTAACCACCTCTAATCCATAGGGATTGTTACCACCATACCCATCAATTTACAACTTGATCAATCACTTTTTTTCTCCGGGACAAATGATCAATCAACCCAAAAGTTAAAATATAGATTCCAAATTACACTAACTACCCTAAACTATAGAATTATTACAATTAGTCTATATTTTTTTAATTTTAAACTTTGATTATATTATAGTTTTTCTTTCTTTTACTATAACATATTAGGGAGGAGATTTGAACTCACAACCTCTTGGTTGGAGGTATATGTCAATTACCGTTGAGTTATGTTCGCTTTGACTTTAATTATATTATAGTTTATGAGTAAATTATTGTGGTAAACTTCATTTTGCAATCTATCATTGATGTTGCTATAATAGCTGTATTTAATTGTAACAATTTTGTAATTATAGGAGTGATGGATGAAATTGAAAATTGTGATGTGTATAGTTGCGGGTGTACTTGTGCAAAATTTCCATAAAATTAATTTGGAAAGAATACATGTCCACCAAACACAGATTTTAAAGCTCACTGAAAATGAAGTTATTCCATTTCCCAATTTTGTATTAAGAAAAATGCATGATTCCAATTATCAATACGCACAAACTTGTCTTAATTGGCAGGCCAACCTGCAGCTGCTCTTCGTTCCGTAACAATTCCCTTAATTATTATTATTATTTTTTTTTAGTGAATGAACAGTTGATAGATATTTTATTAGTACAATGTCATAAAGGCTCTTGATAATGGTTTTGATTTTACTTTTGTTTTCTGAACAATCTATTGTTTTTGGAGCTCAATCAAATAATACATTTTTTCAAGAGCAATTTTTAAATTATAACAAAACTTTAAAATTAAAAAAAATGGTCTTTTTAGTTTTGTTAATTGGACAAGTTAGAATGATTGTCAATGTGAACAACAAAATAATAACTAGATATATAGTAAATAAGTTTAATTTTTTCTCAATAATAATATAATAAATGAGTTCTTAATCAATAAATTAGGTACCTCTTCACAGTTCTTCCCCCATAAGAGATGGAAGTTAATCAAACATGCATTTAGAATATTAGAATACAATCATGTATGACTTTTTTTTAGCTTTATAATTTTTAAATATGATATCTGTTTAATCTTATATTATTATATTTTTCAGAATATTGGTGATTTTCTTAAGTCATACATTTCATTTAACAATAAAAAAATAATTCTTTGTGGAGGTGACGTTAATTTGAAAACAAAGGACGAATATACATGTTCAAAAATAAGGAAGAAGAATATATTTCGATTTTTTCTAAAGCAAAAAGAAGATAATAAAGAAGGAGAAACGGCACCCAACATTTGATGGTCTTCTTTAGAAAATAGAAAACATAAAATGATAAATAAGAAGCATATATCATGGAACGAGTCTAAATATTCACAATTTTCTCAACTTAATTAGGATTCCCCGTTGAACTTTGAAAGAGGGAAAATTAGGGTTTTCTCAAAAGAGGAGAGAAAAGAGGTACCTGTCTTGAAAACAGTGGAAAAGAAAGAGAGAAATTGGAGAGAGAGAGAAATTAAGCACTAGTCACGATTAGAATCTATATAAATGAATTAAATTTATTCAACCCATCAACTTAAACATTTGATTGAATGATGATTTATTCATTCTCAAGATAGTATCAGAGCGAAAGGTTCTGTATTCGAACTCCTGCATTGTTGTTGTTCCTCTCCATTTATTATAATTTCCACCTTTAGAGTCACGGTCCTAATTTATTATGAGTTATCACACAAACCCTCAAAAGAAAAGAAAAGAAATTTTGTATTGGAGCTATACAGTATATATGCATGAGTCCTGAGTCCAAGGCAGGTGAAAGAATGAAAGATGAAACCAAAAAAACAAAACCCTAACCTTAACTGTAACTGGGGAATTTGCATGAATTCAATTAAATAGAATGGTATGGAGGAATACGAAGAACAAAGGCGATATTGAGAGTTGAGAATGGAAAACAATGAGTAGAGTTGTTGGAGCCGGACTCGGAAAGATGAGGAAGACCATATATTATAATTATATAATATATCAAAGTAAGAGAAAGAGAAAAAGAGAGCAGCTGAAAAAAGAAACTAATTCATTCATAATTAATTTATGCTCCTTAGCCTCTTTATTTCTGATTTACAAATAGGAAAAAATATAATTAATATAAAAAAAAAAGAGTATCTAACCAGGTCTCTCCTCCAATCCCCAATTGGCCATGGCAATGTTGTGTGATCTTCTCAGTTACTTGTGTGACTGCCCAATGGAAAAATTCAGCTCCGATACGATCACCGATTGATCTTAATTTCCTATATCATCTCCCCCACTGCCACACCCATCACATTCACACACTTACAATTACAAACGTAACTCTAACCTCAAACCAAGCCCCCGCCCCGACCCTAATTTCCAACTTCCACAACATTAGTTACCTTATTCAAACTCCAACTCTGTATTTGTTTTTATTATAAGATGTCGATTCTACCATAACGCAACACCACACCATACATGTACTACGTACTAATTAACCAAAAGCATACAACTAAAATGGAGGAGGTTTTATTGTTGCGCTTGCACTTCCACTTCCACTTCCCCAACCAAACAAATCTCCTGCAAATGGATATCCCCCAACCCCAATTGCGCTCCCTCCCATACCCAACAACGCAACTCCTCCATTTCCATTATTATTCCCGCCCCCGTCCCCCATCTGTCCCCCTCCACCTCCGGTCACTCCCGACGACTGCGATGCCGTGGGCTGACCTCCCGCCCCCCCACCCTCCTCCGCATCTTCCTCCTCCACAGGCAACCGCTCAAACACCGCGTTCGAGAACGACGCGGCCATCAAAATCACTGGTCCCGATGCCACCAAGGGCCCCACCACGGTGCCTCCCACCACCTGCCCCTGGGCGCCCGCCAGGAATATGCACAGCCCGCCCGCTTGCGGTGGGGCCGGCGGAGGAAGCACCGTCCCCGTCAGCGACAGAATCTCGAACCTCCCGTGAAGCGTGAGGACGCTTCCGGGCGGGGAGGCACAAGCGGCAGGCTGGCGCAGGGTGACGTTGGCGACGGTGCCGGTTCCGGAGAGGATGGAGAGGCCTCTGCCCCGCCGGCGGGCGTAGTTGGAGAGGCTGTCGAGGATGTCGGCGGCGGCGGAGACCTCGAGAACGTGGGAGCCGAGGACGTTGGGGCTGTCGCGGGTGACGATGATGGGAGGCTTGGGCTTGTTCTTGGAGCCCGGAGGACGGCCCCGAGGGCGGCGGATGAGGGAAGAATTACAAGGGGGCGCGTTTTGAGGGGAGTCTAATTTGGAGTTGGAGTTGGAGTTGTTAAATTGGTGAAGGCGAAGCGGAAGCGGAAGGGAGGAGGATGGCGTGTGCAGTTGATCCGTCGTCGGATTATTCAGTAGTCGTTGCCCGTAACCAGAACCAGAACCACCTTGTTCGTTGTGGTTGTACCCCGCCATTCTCATGATATCGCCACTTCCCACCGATAATCTTAATATTACCTACCTACCACTACTTTCTATTTCTACAACTTAATTACCAATTCTCAATCTCTCATCTTCAAAATATATAACTGCAGCTGCATCCCTTAGGATCGATCGATTACATCAACACTCCACCCCATCCATCGTCGGATCCAACAACATCATTTCCATCCATTAGGTATTCGGTCAAATACTATATAGCTAGTTCTAGGTGTGAAGAAATTTCGGAGAAAAGCTAAGCTAAGATAGGACAGATGGATTGGTTGCTGCTCCAAAATTGATTTCTCACCGGAAACAAAAACAAAAACATACAAGTGATCGATCGGTTACGAATTTGAAAGCGATTGATCTTATTTTGCTTCTTTGCTTTGCACGGTCTTCTGTACTGTTCAACAACAGAAAAACACTTTGTCAGTTTTAATTAAACCCGAGAAAGATGGCTAGGTTTACGCTCACACAACTACCTATAAATTAAATTCAAGATTAATTATTACTAGTCGCGACCACTCACAAGTATATATGTATCCTTTCAACAATTCCACGAACAAAAATTAATTGCAGAAATTAAAGCCGATTGGATATCGGAAACGTACCTAGGTATAAACTTGTCTACGGAACAAGAATTTCAAGTACTCGATCGGTCCGAGTCCGAACAGAAGAAACCAGTTGCCGATAACGCAAAAAAAAATCTTCAGTTTCACGAATATAGATATTTATATATATAATAGTAAACTAAAGAAAGAAGAAATTGTTTAGAAGATGAGAAAGGGAAAGACGGAAGGAGAGAGGCTAAGGCTTCGGTTTGGGGTTTGCTTTGCTAATTGCTACAGAGAGAAATAAACATAGAAAGGAAGGGCAAGAGCGGAAAATCAGCTGCCAAACGCAATTAATTACCTACGCAAACACCTCTCCCTCTTTTTCTTTTTCTTTTTTCTTTTCTTTTTTCTTTAACATATTACAAGATTATTACTACCTCCATCCACGCCACGCTCCCACGTGACGCGTGCCCACTGCCTTCCAACCTCAATAATCCTTTTTTACTTTTAATAATATTGTAGCAATGCTATTAATGTTTTTAATATTAATTGTTGAACTTTTACAATAGTTAGTTAATTAATTAGGGGATAACATTATCTGAGCTGATGAGAAGTACTCTTTTAAGTTTAATTACTATATGATCACACTTCATTTGTTCAGTTAATAATTATTAACCAGTGTTGGGTCAACCAAAGTGCAATGTTTTCATTAATTATATTCACTACGATATTGCTAGGGCGGAGGGCGTAGGGGGTAGGCGGTAAGGGTAAGTCGGAACCGGAATGACAGGTATGCGTTGCGTTGTTGTGGTTGGATTGGAGGAGAGAATCACGTGGGGGTGGAGTGGGTCACGTGCGGTCAAAAGGTCAGAGTGAGAGAGGTTTTGGTGTGGTGTGGGTGACAGTGAGAGTTGAGAGTCGAGAGTTGGGAGCACGTGGAAAGTGTCGGTACATCGGAACTTGGTCAACCTTATCAAATCATCAATTCCTTGAATCAATAATAATGGTAAAGCAAGCCCCACCTCAGAGACAAAACTTTGAAAATATATATAAAATATAATATTATATGGAATCACATTGGAAGTGGAACCAGCCAAGACAAAGGGCAAAGGGCAAAGATGTTAGGCCTTGGGGCTCCCTGTGATCTGATCTCTCTCCCGCAACGCCCGTTCCAATAATTCCCACAATTTCCCATTACGGGCAAGGGCAAGGGCAAGGGCATATGCATGCAGGCCGCAATACTACTACAAGTACTGTTGTTGACATCTACATTTCACTACCCCATCCCCATGCATGGTACAGTATTATCAGTATGTATTCAATTATTTTCAAACGAACAAAATCCTGACCTCCAAATTAGTTAAGAGTAAGACTAGGCGGCTTTCATTTTGTCGTTTGGTACCTAACGTCGTAACCTACGCCAAGCCAAGGGGTTGGTTGAATAATGTTTGGCATCGGCATCACCTGAGTTCAGGTTCAGGTTCAGGTTCAGGTTCAGCTTGTGCTTCTGGTGGTTCGATTCATGCATTGGGTCACATAAAGAGAGAGAGATGCTTAGTTAACCATAGTGATAGTGGGACTGCCACTGCCACGGCCACTCGTAAAGCGCAACGAAACATCTCCATCCACGCACACACCTCAACTCCATGTCTATTACATATCCCATCCCACGTGTTTCCCCTTTTCTTTTCTCTCATCTCCACACTCCAATTGCCAATCCCATTTTTCACACACTTCAATTTTAATTCACTTTTAACGTTTGATTACGCTAAATATTAATCATGCTTTAAATTTTTGGCAATAACGGACTTGGAACATTAAATCACCAATCAACTATAAATTTAATTAAGCTTTTAGATTAGGGTAAATTTAATTATTTATAACTCAAGATTTGCTTTCTAGAAAACACTCACTTAATGTCACATATTCAAAATATTACTTACTTTATTCGTTTATTCTAAAGAAATCAAAGTTAAGGATCTAAATAAGCATTTTGAGAGTAGAATCGAGGTGGAACCAATTTTAAGATTTAGACATTCAAAAGTTTAAGAATTAAAATTGAATTTTCCCTACAGCTAGGAAAAAAAATACTCACTCTCTTTTTCTTTAACCGGCCGGTAAGGAAAAATTATATACTATTGAAGATGAAATATACAAGTCAATGTGAATAGACCGAAAAGAGAAGTGTGTTTTCTCCTTCTTGATGATGAAGAATCATAAAGGTTATTTTCCACCTAATAAAAAAACACACCTAACATATGCAATTTACACTTAAGGTCAATATCAATCAAAATATTGAGCTCTTAATTAACACACATTTAATTAGAACTACCTATCAAAGACTATTGATCCGTCCATTGAACCATTTTAAATCAAGTAGCATCACAATAATTAAACATATATATTCTATATTCAATCAAATCACACATAAAAATATTCAAATGAGTTTAGCCAATACAATTAAGGTGGGCAATACCATTATCTGTTGAAAGTTTGCAAGATGCTAATGATTTATCAAAATATGATAAATTATTATTAGTGATTCCATTCTATAATATAATGGTGTTTATTAATTAATTAATTAATTATATATAGATCATCATATTCTCATACCCCCCTTCAACACTCATGGTCTGCAATATTTAACAATAATAGATAAAGAGAAGTTGAAAATGTGTAATTGATGACGCTAATTAACTAAAGAATGGTTTAAAATAATAAAAAGCGGCCAGGAAAGGGCCTGAAGGGGCCATTTAAATCATAATAATATTGTACTCCTAAAAAAAAAAACACAATATATAATATTGTGACTTGTGAGAAACTAATTTAACTTCGTACACTGTTATAATGGCTGCTTTCTCCAACACCAATTAACTCGTGAGTGATATGGTTCGATTGAAAATTGAATTCGATAAGATTTGAGCTCCATATTTGTATCCCCGTCAAAAAGAGAATTATTACCCTACCATACCATTCCAGGGTTGATTATTTTAATATATAACATTAGGGGACACATTAATTATTAATTAATGTCGTAATGTGGCCGATGTTCCCCGAAGACACCTGCTCCATTGTCGTTTTCATACGTTACATTAGATTCCATTCCATAGACTGACGCCTCCTTCACAGGGTCCAACTCTACCCAGGGAAAAAAAAAGGTACCGATATAATCTAGAATTGTTGAGTTTATTTGTACTATTATGTTATAAATAAAGTTACGAACAAATTTTACCTTACTTCACAAGGTACCGATACTTATCCTATCTCTCTGTTTCTGTCTTGTTTTTAAGTTTTTAATGATTTCGTTTTGAAAACTCAGTCCCCTAAATCCACAAAATTTGATGCGATTTTAACGTTTATTTGGTTGTTGTTTCATCTGGATTTTCAATCCTTCAATAATGTCCCCCTCTCACTTAACCCTCTTTGTGTTCTATGTTTCTATTGCCATTTTTTCCGTTACAGCTCTCTTTTGATGGAATCCGAGAACCCAACCCGAAAAATATAGAATTGGATTGGGTTGGGTTAGCTATCAAATTCGGTTCCATTGAGTCTACAAACTAACCAATCCGAATTTGGGTTGGTCCAAAAAAGTCCCTTAACCCGACTCAACCCAACCCTTGAACTCCTGATGTTGGCGGTTATTTATTCTTTACCCATCTTCATCAAGAGCTAGAAAGTTGTTGGATTTGGATGAAAACAAGTCTACTCCTTAATTTGTACAAGAAATTTTACGATGATATAGTCTTTACTTTTTGTGAGTCTCAGTTTGTTTTTTAAAATTTTATTGTGTGAAAGATAAAATTAGAGAGGCAGCAATTTCTTCGGACACACTCCAAGGAGCACGAATGGAAAGCTTGTGAGGAGGGTTTGTCCTCAAGCTGACGATTTCCTTGCCCTGAGTGGCTTTTAGTTTATTAACTTCTCACTTTTCGTCGTGTTTGTTGCTTTGGTGTTACTGTTGACTAGCCCAACATCTAGTTCCATGATTCTTTAAATATAAAATAAAATATTTATTTTTAGTATTTTTCTATATTTAAATAGTGATAAACAAGATATGATATGCAAAAAAAAAAAATATTTGTTCACGCGTAGACATTGTACATGACATCATATAAAGGTTAAATTGATAACCTTCGATGTTGACAATGTCAATATCCGAGATCCAGGTTTGGAGTCCTCAAATGCCCAACACCAGTAAAAGAAAAAAAAAATCGGCACATGTTGCAAAAAAAAATCATATTTAACAGGTACAAGTAATCTAAATCCATTAGTTTAGGCTTCTGGGTCGATGGATATTTAAAATCGTATTTAACAGGTACGAGTAATTGGAAGGCGTAGCCGGAGAATTCTGCGTTGTGTGTGTTTGAGGTGTCAGCAATGGCTACGGTGGCGAGGAAGGGTAAAGTTTGTGTGACGGGGGCTGGAGGGTTTATTGGTTCGTGGGTCGTCAAGCTTCTGCTATCTAGGGATTATATTGTCCACGGAACTGTGAGGGAGCCCGGTAATTACTCTCATCGCTCTCTTCTTTCCATTCACTTATAATTCCTTCTGCTTCCTTCTGGATTAACTGTGAATTGGCCTTTTTCTATCACCAAATACAGAGTTCCTTCATATTCTCCCCACAAGGTTTCTATGAACAAAAATAGGACCAAGTTGAAGTTGTTGATTTAGATATTTCCATTTTCGTCCCTACTCCAGACATAGTGGTACACTTTTTAAATGTTTCACAAGGATGTGGGACTCTCACATGTTTTCAAATTACTCTATGAGGGCTAGACTGTATAAATTAAGGCACGCATTCTACCGTGATAACATTTTTTTGGAACTTGGATGCTGGACACATTATCCCCTGTTCTTGTTACTAAAAGAATCTATTGGACAAACTCCCGAGGAAACATGGGAAAGGAATTTTTTGTTCCACTCCGTTCCTTTGTTTTGTTTCAGATGTGTCATTTTGCTAGGTGGCATAGTCAGACTATGAAAGATTGAATCTACAAGAGAAAAAATTTGGGAAGAAATCAAAATTGCACATGACCTAGCTACTTGGGAATGAGGGTACCCTTACATCTGATGTTGGAGTTCTTCTATGAGTTTATGTAGCATAGGCAGAGTTTTATTCGTTGATTTAGAAGTACATTTATGTGTGAGATCAAAATTGTACTTACGTGATGGAAATGGTTAGTTTGCATTGACAACGAGCCCTTTACTGTTGTCAATATTGAACTGATGAGCTTGTGAAATCCATTATGGATCAGCTTATTTTGGATGAAGGAATTTCATGTTGACTGTCTACTTTACGAGAGGGATGGGGATGGAAGCTAAGGGAAAGGTGGATTGTTATCTTTTTCATCAGTTGGCACTAATCAATAACTAGGTTTGCAATTATGTGAGGAACATGAAGAATACTAATCAGTTAAAATAGTTAGATGAATAAAGATTTTGAAATTCGAATAGTCAATTTGAGATTCCAAGTCACAATTGATTGAAAGTAGTTCTCGAGATAAGGGTACAGTCCTTTGCAATGCTTGTTTATTTGCTATCTTGTGGGATATTTGCCTGGGAGGAATGGTGAAATTTTTAGAGGGGTTTAGAGATCTTGGGAAGAGGTTTGAGGCATTGTTAGATTTAAAACCTCTTTGTGGCATTCGTTCCTAAACTTTTTTGTAATTATCAAATAGGTTTTATTCTTTAAATTGGAGTTCGTTTTTGCAGAGTTAGTGTATAAACTCCTTTTGAGGGGCTGTTTTTTGTATGCTCTTGTATGTTCTTTCATGCTTCTCAATGGAAGCTTGATTTTTCATTTAAAAAAATAAAAGTAAAAAACTGAAAGTAGTTTTCTGATGCAGTGTATTGACCGAAAGAGGGGTCTCTTCCGTTGAAGTTTTTCCCTTAGGCTACTATAAGTATAATTTTATTTTCTTTAATGAGAATTCTTAAAATAATGTGCAGGAGATGCGAAGTATGCTCACTTGAGAAAACTTGAGAAAGGGACTGAGAATCTGGAACTGTTTAAGGCTGATTTACTGGACTATGAGTCTCTGCGTTCTGCAATTGCAGGATGTGAAGGAGTTTTCCATGTTGCCAGTCCAGTTCCTTCCACAACTTCATCAAACCCAGAGGTAAGAATGCCTCATCGTGACATTCTCCTTTATCAACAATACATATGTCTAGGGACAGTCAATCCCTAGTGATGCAAATATAGGCACAAAAATTGTTTCCTATCAATATCAAAATGATGAATATTTAGAGTTTTCTTCATTTTCTGTCACTCTATAGATTTATATTGTCCGGAATTGCTTGGTAAAGTAACATGAGATGATGGAATTCAGTTGGATTGATGGTAAAGGGCTACTGCACCCCAAGAACAATGATTCATTTTTAAAATCCAAGCCTATGTATTATTCGATGTGAGTTGGACAGCTGACTTTAATTTGACCCAAGACTGACCTGGGAGGGTATAAATGTATTAGTATATTTTTGGATGAGGGACGTCTAATTAATAAAATAGAACTACACAAGGAGAGGGAAGGACATGATATGCAAATATTAAACCAGCATATGAGAATAAAATAAGCTCTTCACTTGACTTGAATCACAGTGGAAACGTTCTAGCAAGAGTCCATGTAGAAACTAGGAAATGACAGTCTTCTCGACAACCTCAACACCACTAGAAGCCTGCTGTTCCTTTCAATCCAGATTTTATCACTTTCGTCTTTTCAATTGGAAGGAATGATAGTGGTCGTGTTGTTTATAGAGTGCTCTTTGTCTTATACTTTGATTCATATTACTTTCAGACAGAAGTGATAGAACCTGCTGTAAAGGGCACACTTAATGTGCTTGAAGCATGTCTGGAAGCGAAAGTTAAGCGAGTGGTTGTAGTATCGTCTGTTGCTGCAGTAGTTTTCAATCCAAGTTGGCCTCAAGGTCAAGTAATGGATGAAAGTTGTTGGTCTGATAAGGAATACTGCAAAGCTACTAAGGTATTTAAACAGAAAAACTCATTTATTGTTGAACATATTGGGTGTATGTGTATCTATGGTTTGTGATTTTGCCTCATAAGAAAACTGCAGAGTGAGGTTATAGTATGATTTTATTATGGCCATCCATATTCATCATTATTCTTCAATTTTGTACCAGAACTGGTATTTTCTGTCAAAAACAGAAGCCGAAAGTGAAGCCTTGGAGTTTGGGAAAAGACGTGGGCTTGACGTGGTAACTGTTTGTCCTAGCTTCGTTATGGGGCCAATTTTGCAGCCAACAGTCAACGCCAGCACCCTGGTTATACTTAAGCTTCTGAAAGGTACTAGTTTGCAACGTACGTGTGTGGTCGATATCTATTTGATATCACCAGGGCAACGTGTGTGTAGGTCAGCATGAAAGGTTCTTGCTTCATGCAAGACGAGAGTCATGCTTTGGGATTTTCTTTCTATGTGGCAGTAGGAGATTTTGCTGAAGATAATGTGTAGGTGTATAATATTTTGAATGGCATTGTGCATGCAGAAGGATACGAGTCGGTGGAAAATAGGGTACGAACGATAGTAGACGTACGAGACGTAGGGGAGGCGTTACTTCTTGTGTACGAGAAGGGTGAAGCGGAAGGAAGGTACATATGTACAGCGCATACTGTGGAGACAAGGGAGATGGTGGATATATTGAAGAGCAAGTGCCCTGATTTTAACTATCCGAAGAAGTGTGTTTGTGTGGTTAGTTTGTAATAGAAATAAAAATATTGTTTTCTGAAAAGGGGTGTGTGTGTGTGTGTGTGTGTGTGGCAGGTTTATTGAAGTGAAGAAGGATTGGGGCATTGCGAGCTCGGAGAGGTTGCAGAGATTGGGGTGGAGGTATCGGGCGTTGGAGGACACGCTTGGGGATGCTGTCCACAGTTTCAAAGACGCGGCCTTGTTGCACTGACTCGCTCTTGTGGCCTGCTTCTTTGTTTCACTACCAAATGATATATATGCTTCAAGCGAAGAACGTGTCTTTAAATTTGAACCACCACTTATTTGTAACATTAAATCGTGAAACACCTACTCAATATTCTTAATATTGAACATCTTTTTTATATGCTTTCTTTTTTTGGTTGTTCGAATAAACATGTGGGCGGGGAATTTCAACTTATGATTCTTTTTTTTTAATCGAAAATGGGTGCCTTATCCCATGTTTATATGTTATATAGATATATGATTCTATTATTAATTTTTTTAAAAATATTAAATAGAAAATTTTAAAGTTGTTTATACTAGTTTCGGTGCGTTCAACCTACATAAAATTAGGATTACCAATGAATCAACTTAACTGTTCTTGCCATATGTATTTCCCTTCTTTTAAGTTTTAACTTTTTAAAGAAACAAAGCAATAAAAAGGCTTTTATAATAATAAAAAAAAAAAAGGAGTAAAGGCTTTTTCAGTGGGCCAGCCCAATCCCGTTTATTTGGGCTCTGTGATAAAGTATGGTTCAGGCTTCGCCTGAGGGACGGCTCACGGCACACTTAATTTTGCTTTTCCGGTCTCTTCTTCCTT